ATCCTTGCCCAGTTTAGGAATACACACACACACACACACACACTATGTGAAGACTCAGCTCTCTGGAAAAGGCTTTAATTCTGAGAAAGGTGGAAGAAAAGAGAAGAAAAGGATGACCAGTGGCAAGATGGATGGACTCAGTTACAGTGGCCATGAGTGCATTGATGGAAGATCTGAAAGACCAGGTTAGGGGCAGATTGTCATGAAGAAAATCTATCTATGTGGTCGCTAGGAGTCAAAAACTACTTGATGGCACATAATCAAAAAAAAAATACACATACACATGTGCATGCACACACACACACACACACACACACACAGTAATTAAGGTATATTTGCGGGGGGGGGGAGGTAAAGGAAAGAAAAGGGGAAAGGAAATAAAAGGAAGACAGAGCAGAGCACAGCTGTAAAAGAAACTGAAATCTGTAAACTTTCCTGTAGCCCAAAACATACAGATATAACAAGCAAATGTGTATAAGAGCCAGAGATAAAGAAATTGAATAGCCTGAATGCAAGGAAGCATAATAGCAACACTTGATAGTTTTTAAAATCCTCTTCCTTCAACAGGAGCTTAAAGAGGTAAGACTTATTTTAGCTTTCAACATTCTTATGAAATCTGAGTGCCATTTTTAACATTTCAAAACAAAGACAGCTAGAAACCTGATGAAATTTTGAAGATTCTTCTCTCAAACAATATGTCTCACTGCATTGAACATCTTTCTCTGTAGGTCCATCTTCCTTAGTGTGATATGGGGAAAACGTAACATGAGACTTTTATCTCCCCATTCAATTATTTGAGGAAATTGGCTTTCTGTAAAATTTCATTCCTCAAGGCAAATCTAGGGAACTTCACAATGAGTGGGTGGAGGCATATCAGCTGTACAAAAATGAGAGGCCTTCTCAATAAGCCGCTCAATATCTATCTGATAATCATCATACAAAGCCTTCCCATCTTAGAGCTTTCATAAAGAGAACCAGCTGGCCTTTCTCAGTTTCTTCTGGAATTCCAAACACACATAAATTGTCCCAGTGAGAGAGAGATTCCACTGTTTGATCTTGAAGAATCTTAACAGCTTTTAGTCAATCAGTTATAGATGGATCTACTGCCTTCCCATGATCTTCCAACTGAGATATTCTGTTTTTAGCTACATCCAATCCGATACTCAAAATGTTAACAATGCCTTTAATCTCTTTTATTTTTACTTTTGGCTAGAAGAGAACAGCCACCATCTTCTTTTCTCAACAGCTGACTAAACTCAGTTTAGGGAAAAATGATGGCAGAACTTTCTGGGGTGCCATTCAGACAAATAAAACAACCCCCTCTCCAGTAATCAAAACACAAAATAATCACCTGTTTCTGGTTCCAATAATAGTAATTTGAGTAGTAAATAAATGCTTATCAGGATGAAAATATTGTAGGGTCTGCTGGAGAATACGGATACCTGTCTAAAAACATTACCGTCTTGCCTGGAAGCTGGACTGTGGTTTGCAGATAAGTGCATTCTCCATGTCTGAAATAGCTCGTCCATGTTAAATTATATTCAGTGTATGTTTTTGCCTGCATATATTATGACTCTTTTTCTTCATGTTCCATTATGTTTGGGCCACCCATGAAAAGACATTCTTCATATAGCTGTAGGAGTGCCAGATTTAGATTTGACTAGAGATGGAAAGGGAAAAGGTGAATTTGACACACAAACACCAGCCCTGATTAAAATTCACCCTTCCTCAGAGAGAGAGAGAGAGAGAGAGAAAAGCATCTGGTTGATTGAACCATGGTTATGATAAGATCCTGCCCTTTTACACTGTGGCCCTGATCTAATGTGTGGTCCCTGTGGATGTTTTTAAGAAGAAGAATTTGATATCAGTTTAATTGGGTCCTAAGGATGCGACTAAGACAAAAAAATAAATAACTCTAGACTTAATATCACATGCTTTTTTGAGTCTCCTTAGGGAGTTATGAATTTGAAGTCCAGAATAGAGGCAAACCATTTCACACTCATTTATGACCAGCATATTTCCATTTTAGGTTACAAGTGTGGGTTCCTTGATATCCCCGTAATAATGTGTGAAGGGACAACAGAGACACGTCTAAGCTCAACTGTGTCAGTTTTGGTTCCCAGACATACTGTATGTTTACAGGTCCTTATCTCCAATTCAAACATGCACACTTGTTGCATTAAGTGTGAGGTAGTTTGAGTATGTTGTACCAAAAAAGGAGAGAGACTGAGTTGTTTGTTTTTTCTTCCATGTCCCCAACACTGAGCTGATAAGAATTGCCAGGCTCATAAAACTGAGGGTTCTAGTGATAATTTTATAAATGTGTTAACATCCAGTTTAATGAACAGAAGTGCTTAATCGATGAATACTGCCTGTAGTCTTTCCTCTAAAATTTCAGAACAGCTTAAAAATGAAAGTTAAAGGTATATTATAGCATATTCAGGGTTCTATTATAACTATTGCATTGCTTTTCTTATAACAATGGTTGATATATAAAATATGTGTTATCCATTGTTAGCTGAGTTCTGAAGTTTTACAGCAAAATGAATGTATACATTTCTCAACAACTTTCTTTCACATTATTAAAAATAAAGGAAAGCTGTGAACTTGATTAAAAGAGTAATATGTTTTGATTATGTGTGAGTGGAAAAGTAACAATGGAAGAATAATTTCCACTGGGGATAAAAGACTAGAAAGGAGGGGAATTAAGAAAATGTGCCCCAATACACTGGCAAAATTCATATCATTGCTGAAGTTGTTTTTCATTTAATAGCTGACTGGGAGACATTCATTTAAATATGGTCTGAATTAAACTAAGAATTTCATGGGTGTGCCACTTTAACTGCAGAAGTTCATAGTGGTTTGTAGTTAAGTTGGTCTGTTTATTTATTTACAATGCTTGTAATACAGGTAGTCCTTGCTTAACAATGGTAACTGGGACCAGGATTTCCATCACTAAGCGATGTGGTTGTAAAGCGCGATGTCATGTGACTGCATTGCTTAGCGATGGAACTCCTGGCACTCCCCATTGCCATCTTTAAGTGAGGATCATGGGTCATTAAGCAAGGACCTCCCCGCAACTTTCTGCTGGCTTCCCACAAGCAAAGTCAGTGGGGAAGCTGGCACAAAGTCGCAAGTCCCAGGTGGTTCGCAAGCAGGCCTGTGGGCGGGTAAGTGGCTGCTGCCAGGTAGAGGGCAGTGCGCAGGTGGCTAGCAAGGTGCAGCATGAGCTTGGCAGAGCCAGCGATGGCTGCTGCTGGGCAGGGGAGGGTGCACTTGCGACTTTCCCTGCCCACTTCCCTATTGACTTTGCTTGTGGGAAGCTGGCAAGAAAGGTTACAAATGGCGATTGCGTGACCATAGGACGCTGCAACCATCGTAAATGTGAGCTGATTGCCAAGAGCCCAGTTCAGGATCACATGACCGCAGGGGTGCTGGGATGGCCAGATCTTCGAGGACTGGTCGTAAATACCACTCATTCAGTGCTGTTGTAACTTTCAATGGTTGCTGAATGAGTGGTTGTTAACCAAGGATTACCTGTATGTCACAACCCTGCAGGACTCTAGACAGCATACAGCAATAAACAAAAGAAAAATATATAACCATAAAAATCCAAAAATTAAATTAAATATAGAGGATAAATGTCCCTACTGAGGATTGATTGATTATGTGCCATCAAGTTGGTGTTGATTCTTAGCAACCACATAGATTTTCTCTGTGGCAATTTGCTCCTAACCTGGTCCTTCAGGTCTTCCAACAGTGCACTCATTACCACTGTAACTGAGTTCATCCACCTTGCTGTTGGTTGTCCTTTTCTTCTCTTTCCTTCCACCTTTCCCCGCATTAGAGCCTTCTCCAGATAGCTGGTCTTTGCCTGAGGTGTCTGATGTAGGATAATTTGAACCTGGTCATTTGTGCCTCAACTGAGAACTCTGGGTTGATTTGTTCAGAACTACAAGTTCTTGTAAATAAGGACTATGTTGAATGTTGAGATCTCTACTGTATAGTATTTTAGTATACTCCTTCCAGCTTTGTTTGTTCTTTGAATCAGTTACTATCTGTCCATTGGCATCCTTTAGCATACCAATTTGAGGTTGGAACCTTCTTCTGAGTTCAGGGATCTTTTGGAAGACTTACCTTGTTTGT